TGCCAACATGCTTGGCTAATTTTTTTTTTTTTTTTGGTAGAGATGGAATCTCACTATGTTGCCAAGGCTAGGCTTGAACTCTTGGGCTCAAGCAATCCACCCACTTTGGCCTCCCAAAGTGCTGGGATTATGCGCATGAGCCACCGCACCCAGCCAACATCGACTCCTCAGACCCTTGCCTTGCCATGCTGTCTTTGCTATGGAACTTTTGCACATGTTCTTCTTCCTGGAACATTCTTTTCTGCCACCTTTTCTCAGCTTTCTTTGGCTGCTCTGACTAGACTGATTATTCCTAGTATAGCACTGTGTACCCATCCTTTTTGCCATTGGTTATTGTAGCAGTTTTATTCCCATCTCCCTCAGTATTTGGTTGTCTGTCTACTATACTAGACTGTAAGCTGCACAAGGGCAGGAGCTCTCTGCTTTAGCCTATTGTTTAAGTCACAGCACCTCACAGAATGCATAGCAGGAGATCATCAAATGTTTGTTGAATAAATAAATATACAGAAAGGTAAAAAAGTATGAAAAGCAAGCAAATAGACATGAAGGAGGCTTCAACTTAAATACTCTTTATCAAAGATTAAGTGTATAATTCAGTTAGTTCTCACAGTTTTTCTTAGGTGCTAGGCTTGTCATCAACAATCCTATTAATAATGCTAAAATTCTTTTAAACAATAGTGGTATAAGGTTATCAGTAAATAAAAAATATAATTAGTGTTAGTAGTACTTCTAGGTCAGTCCATAAAGGCATGTTGAATGGATGATGTCCCCAAAAGAGTAGTTTTAAGCCCTAAAATTTACTAAGCCCCTGTGACCTTTGAGAAGAACTTGGAGGGTATGAAGGGAATAAGAATTACAATTACTAGCAATTCCCAGAGCTCCATGGATGAAAGATGTCATCAAGCCATGTTCTGAGGTCTGCAATTCTAGTAGTGAATGTGTGATGGGCCAGAGTGATGCGAATGGAGGTGAGCCCAGGGACCATTCGAAGGAAGAAGTTGCTCATGAGCCCTGTGATGTGGCTGGCTAGGATAGGTCCCTTTTCCTTTTCTTCTATATATGTCCCTTTGAAAGTACGTGCACTTGAGTAGAAAACACTGCCCAAAGTAATTTATAGATCAAATTCTATTCCCATTAAACTACCACTGACATTCTTCACAGAATTAGAAAAAATTATTTTAAAATTTATATGGAACCAAAAAACAGCCTGTATAGCCAAGACAATTTTAAGCAAAAAGAACAAAGCTGGCATCACACTACCTGACTTGAAACTATACTACAGGCTACAGTAACCAAAACAGCAAGGTACTGGTACAAAAACAGACACATACACCAGTGGAATAGGATAGAGATCTCAGAAGTAAGACCCCACATCTACAACTGTCTGATCTTTCACAAACCTGACAAAAACAAGCAATGGGGAAAGGATTCTTTATTTAACAAATGGTGCTGGGAGAACTGGCTAGCCACATGCAGAAAATTGAAACTGGACCCCTTCCTTACACCATATACAAAAATTAATTCAAGATGGATTAAAGACTTAAATGTAAAACTCAAAACTATAAAAATCCTAGAAGAAAATCAAGGCAATCCCATTCAGGATATAGGCGCTGGCAAAGATTTTATGACAAAACGCTGAAAGCAATTGCACCAAAAGCAAAAATTTGACAAATGGAATCTAATTAAATGAAAGAGCTTCTGCACAGGAAAAGAAACTGTCATCAGAGTGAACAGACATCCTGCAGAATGGGAGAAAATTTTTCCAATCTACTCATCTGACAAAGGTCTAATATCCAGAGTCAACAAGATACTTAAACAAATTTACAAGAAAGAAACAAACAACCCCATTAAAAAGTGGGCAAAGGACATGAACAGACACTTCTTAAAATAAGACATTTATGCAACCAACAAATATGAAAAAAGCTCAACAACACTGATCATTAGAAAAATGCGAATCAAAACCACAATGGGATACCATCTAACACCAGTCAGAATGGTGATTATTAAAAGTCGAGAAACAATAGATGTTGGTGAGGTAGCAAGGAAATAGGAATGCTTTTACACTGTTGGTAGGAATGTAAATTAGTTCAACCACTGTGGAAAACAGTGTGGCAATTCCTCAAAGATCTAGAACCAGAAATGCCATTTCACCCAGCAATCGCATTACTGGGTATATACACAAAGGAATATAAATCATTCTGTTATAAAGATACATGCACACATATGTTCACTGCAGCACTATTCACAGTAGCAAAGATGTAGAATCAACCCAAATTGCCCATCATTGAACCCATTTAATTAGATCCCGTTAACCAACCAAAATGTCCATCAATGATAGACTGCATAAAGAAAATGTGGTACATATACACGGTGGAATACTTTGCAGCCATAAAAAGGAATGAGATCATGTCCTTTGCAGGGACATAGATGGAGCTGGAAGCCATCATCCTCATCAAACTAACACAGGAACAGAAAACCAAACACCGCATTTTCTCACTTATAAGTGAGGGCTGAATGATAACACATGGCCACAGGGAGGGGAAAAATACACACCAGGGCCTGTTGTGGCATGACAGCGGGAGGGAGGGCATCAGGAAAAATAGCTAATGCATGCTGGGCTTAATACCTTGGTGATGGGTTGATAGATGCAGCAAACACCATGGCACACATTTACCTGTGTAACAAACCTGCATACCCTGCACATGTATCCCCGAACTGGAAAAAAAAAAAAAACCTAACAAACAACAAACAAAACCCCAAAATTTTTTTTAAAAAGAAAGAAAATACAAATTACACTGATAGAGGAAGATTTTTCTTTTATCTAGACTATAAAGGTAGCCATATTTTGTGCAAGAATTTCTGTATTAACATTCCATGTCAAGAGGAAGAAAAGAAAAGAAGATTCCAAGGGTAGAAGGATTGGTGCAGAAGCCCTCTGAGAGCACGAGAAGAAAGGCAGTTTGATGACACACATGGATTGCTGGAGAGAAGGGTGGATGCCCTTAGGGAATGAGAAGAAAGGAAGGGAGAAAAGATAAAACACAGGTTATTTGCCTGGAATGGCCCGATTTTCTGACAAATATTCCCAGAACATAGCTCAGGAGAAATGCCAATTGTTTCAAGCAAACCATTCTAAATAGTACCAGTTTTATTTTAGAAAGAATAGCCCGACTGCAAAATTAAGAGAAATCTATGATCCAGAAAATATCAAATTATGCCATGAGTTATTTTCATGAAATTATATACAACACAGTATTCTGAAGAAAGCTTTATTGTTAAAATTCCGACAAAGAGGAGCACTTGATGTAAAAAGCACAAATCCTGAAGTCATGCTCATGACTTTAAATTAGTATAAGCAACTTAATGGTACTTGAAAATTTAACCTGTTTATTGTGTTTTAAAGTGAAATTGAGGATGAGTTAATTTATGTTTCCATAATTGGATTCTTTGGGAGCATGAAGCATTCAGGCTTATGGCGAGAAAGATCTCAAAAAGCACCTTTTATCTCTATTTCCTGGTTCCTGCCCCTGACGCCCCCTGGAGTACATATATTCTGGTCTTCTGAGCACTAGATTAATTTTCTTCATGTGAATATTCTTATAGTTTTCATTTGGGTATGAACTATGTTATTTCTACAGAAGTTTTTGTAAAATTATTTTTGCCATTCTATATTTTACTCTGAAAGTGATTGCCTTTGTATATCACAGTTCACATAAGAAAATTAAAGTTAGTGAAAAAAAATCAACAAAACAGATTGCCTGAATTAAACTTAACATTCTTTCTGAAGAGTTTTACAAATACCATCCATGCAGTAAGAAGAATGGTAATTCTGATGAGAACACCTCTTTCAAGAATTCATCTTCACCTTCCCTTTCGCTCAGGAGGTGGCCTCTTATTGTGGATGTTGGATATAACCAGTGAACCGAATACTTGAAACCAATTTGCTGGTTTGAGAAGAGGTTATTGATTCTCACAGCATGTATATACTTGGGAAATTTCATTGTTTGACATGTGGATGAATCTTGTCTCATACTACTTTAAGTCAGGCAGACTGGGTGAGGCATATGAGTTCCCTTTGCTTTATTGAAGTCTTCTGAGAAGGCAAAACAAAAAAATGTTTAACAGGTCTGCATGTTGCTTTGAATAAAAAGTACTGTATGTGCTTCTTGGAAAAAGTCTGGTGAGGTGATTTTTCTTTTAAGCATATGGCATATGCTTTATTTTGAGGGAAGATGCTGGGAGAGAAATTTCTGTGTGGTTTCTACAGAATTAAGAGGACAAAGGTGGTAATTGATAAAACACCAAATCTTGGGCATTTATATAATTGTTGATTAAATAATAAAAGTTCAACTGAATAATTAATGCATAACTCTTTGAATGGGTGAAGATGTACAAAAACTCAGCTCATCTGAGGTCAGTATCTCTTCTAGGGATTGTTAAAGAATATGGGCAAGGTGATGAAGACGTATGTTGCTGTTTCCCTGCAGATGCTGGCAATATGGGCCCTGCCCCACTTCAGCCCCTCACTTCTCTAATTTTTCTCTAGGAATATTATTATTGGCCCAGGGAAAGTTCATTTCAGCAGAAATTCTGCCATTGTGAAGCAATTAGAGCAATTTTTTAGCAAGAGGAAGTGATTTATTTTTCCCAATCACTGTTCATAAGATGGTCATTACAAATAAGTTTGCTGATAAATCGGTGGCCGCGAGAGACAACTTTAATTGTGACAAGGAAAGTTTCTTGGTGCTTAATGGAGAGAGACTTTTCTGCCCCTTACCGGTACAGGTTCATGGTGAGAGATAGGCCCTGTAGGTATTTATTGACTTGAACTGGGGTCTTCTTAATAAAGAGAGGTATGTTTTAGAAATGAGACTCCTCGGGGTCTTGTTTGGGGTAATTAGTGAAGAACCAAGTTAATGTTGTTGTTTTCTGTTTTTTCTCAAACATCTTGATCTTTGGTTTTGATCTTTTTTTTAACTGACAAATTACTTCTCTTTCAGGCCCTGAGCTTGATGTAGAAGACTATCATATGAACCAGAGAGGGTAACTGAACCCAAAGAAATGACTCCAACATGAAGCTAAAGACACGCCTTAAAGGATGAGGAGGAGCAGAAATCCCACCAGCAAGGCAAGAAAGAAGCTGTGCATGAACAGGTGACAGTAAGAGAAATGCTTCATTCCCTGTTGCGATTATTAGCACGTGAAGCTTGTGAAACACAGAGCCCCAGCTAGAGGATCTTGTGTTATAATTTTTCAAAGACTGCGCAGCAGGCACAGCAGCCATACAGCTAATAGAAATCAAGTGTTATTTCTTAAGTATCATGCACTTTGATTAGCAGCTTGGGGAGCCATTGGCTGAATTTCTTGAAGAAACCTCTAGGAAGTCAGCCATAACTCTAAGACTGAGGCAGCTTTCGAGTAGTGTGATTCATCTTCTTTAAGTATTAGGGCCACCTAGGGTCACGCCAGCCCAGTCTACAGCAGGTAACCTGGAACTGAAATTCTGAGACAAAAGAACTAGGAGGAAAAATGTCCCACCTGGCTCAAGGGAGGAAGTCAATTTAAAGGGATGAGGAGAACACTGGCAAAATAATATTTTAAAGCTATTAACTGATTTTCCTCTTCTGGCAGTTCCTATTGCCTCTGACTCCTCCCCCAAGCCCACTTAGGTATCATTTGTTCTATCAGGAAAAAAGAAGTTTCACCAGAGGGCAGGAAAAACAGGCTTTTGATTTTCTAAAGTCAAGACCCTGAAGGCACTTGGGATAGAGACACTAAGGTGAATTGATGCAAAGTTTCCCACCCCTTGTAAAACCTAGAGTTTTCTAGGTGTGTTGTGAGGACAGTGCTCGAGCTGGGGAGAAAAGGGGGCTGATACATGCTGGTGGGGAGATGGGGAGGTGGGAAGGGAAGGCAGAGGGGGAAGGGGAAGCAGAGGTGCTGGTGGCTCCTCTCTCCTCTGAGAAAAAGACTCTACAATCTTCTCCCCAGAGGAGAAGGTTGTGGGGGAGAGAATTGAAGATGGATTGGGGTTGTCATCACCTCCAAGCAGAGCTCAAGAAGACTGTAAAACATCAGAACAGAAATGGCTGAGTGGTCTCCAGGAGACAGATGATCTGAGCCAGCCTCAAAGAACTGAGTGTACCCCAGCACAGCTCACAAGTGTTAGAATGAGTCTTCTGTACTCAAAAGTCCCATCAGAATAGTAATGAAAGGCCCACAGAGTTTTCTGGTGTCCCTGTGGCCTGAACGAAGTACAATAAAATTTCCTGTGCCAACAAGGGGCTTGGCAACAGCTGAGAGAAAATGTGCCATGTCTGAAGGAGTCTTGTGCTGGGGAACAGCTCAGTGGCAAAGACCCACCAGGAACAAGGTCATATGAGCCAACGCTGGTGCTGAGATAGCATCACACAGAGAAAGAGATAATTCCCTCGACCTATTGCCCTGGTACAATGTGACACCCCTGTAACCCAGTGAAAAGAGTGAGGGTGCAGAATTGTGGGAAATTAGGTTCTAACACTGAAGATAGGCTTAAAATAGATTAGTGGTTACAGAAAAATAAAGTTTTACTTCTTGTACAATTGAGTTTGTTGATTGAGTTCTGAACCCAAAAGTAGAACAAGTCACTCAATCAATAAATTAATTAAAAAATCAGTCATACCTGACAAAACCATTTAGCTCTTCCTTTCTGGAATTTAGGAGAAGTGTAACACGATTCACAATCAAGATTTGTGTTACAGCCTAACATAAATCTTGACTATTGCTATGTAGTTAGATTATGTGCAGCCTCAGGGTCATGGGGGTAGCTTAGTCTGCATGGCTTAGGGAGTGCTGACCATGTGGCTGGCACTGACCTAGGAACTTTCACCATTTTCCCTCATTTAATCCTTTAAACAGTGTTTGTGAGAGCAGATATGATCCCCACTTTACTGACAAGTAAACGAAGGCTCGACAAAGTGAAATCTGAGAGAATGCTAATAATTGTGAAGCATTTCCTTTGGCGAAAGTTGGTTCCACATTTTGGTGAGTAATGCCCAGTGCTTCCTTCCTTCTTTTCCAACATTCTCTTCTTTTCCTGTGTGTTCTTCACCCTCCCACCTCTGCACCTTTCCTTCAGTGCTCATACTTCAGATACTGCTCCTCTTCCTGTCCTTTTGACATTTTCCCCAGTTTCTATGGCACAATTTCAATTTTGTCTGTTCCCTGACACTTCTGCAAACCTCTCAGCTCTTATTATCCATCATTATGCTCCTTCAGCACCTCACAAGATCATGATAGCCCATTATCAAGTCAGCTTTGTATTGCAGGTTTTTGGTCATGATAGTGTCAGCTGGTAGTTTGTAAACCCCAGAAGAGCTCCATCTTGTGCAGCCTCAGGACCAACCATGAATTTAGCATCCTAGGCTGGCAGGTATTTTTGTGCCTTATACATAATAAGGCCTTAACACATACTTGTCAAACTAAATTAACTTAAAATTCTAAGAAACATAATTAGTGAAAAATGGGACAGATGCTTATAAGAATGTTTAACTGGTAATGGCTTTGAATTCCTCACTACTTTCCTTCTTTATCCTTAACTTACTTCAATTTTTTTCAAACATACAAAACAGTTTAAAAAACTGTTCACTGAACACCCATGTAATGACCTCCTAGCTTCTATAATATACCCACTATTATATTTATGTTGTCATGTCTGTCCATCTACTCATCCTGCTATCCATCCACCAATAGATACTATTTTTTCCTCACTGCTTTTCAAATACCTCCAATGTTTGAGAGACTTTTGACTTTGGAATCAGAGCTGAGATTAATTCCTCAATCTTGTTAATTAAGTCCAGTGCTTGCTTGTTCTGTGATCTTGGTGGTGTTGCTTAGCTTGAGTCTGTTTTCTCTTTGTAAAATGGGGTGAACAACGATGTCCACATGGGTTGTGGTGAGGAATAAATGAGACTGTATATAGAGGGCCTGGCACATAGTGTGTGTTCAGCACACAGTAGCGAAAGTAAAAGGACAGCATAAATATTTATTTCAGTCATCAGCACTGATTTGCAGTGATTTGTCCTTCTGGTGTTCTTGCTTCCAGCCTCTGCTTTACACCCAGAAGGAAAAGAAGTTACAGGAGCCGATCTGTCTTACACTCTTCCATGATCATAATCAAGAGGTCCCTGGATCTAGAGGTGAGCAAGAGGTGATGTGGGCTCTGGAGTGGGTACTGCATTCTGAATTCCCTGGCACAATTAAAAGGCAATAGAGCTAAGAGTAGAATCACCAATGATCTACTATACCCAGACAATATGGGGGAACTTAATGTCTATCTAAAATTCAGAAGAACCTTTGCTGAAAATGGAGATGATTAGGAGAGGATGTCAGAACTCTGTCACAGCTATAAGCCTGCCTTTTGAGCCTTTTGGTGCAGGGATTTGAATCTTTTCCAAGCGTAAGCCCTCATTAGTAGCACCCTCTACTCTAAGGCTGTATGATGTTCCATATTCATGGAACTATTTCTTAATTATGCTCTAGGTCATCTTGCCCCTGAAATGGCCCTGGAAAGCTATGGCTGGAGAATGGAGGAAAAGATCACTTTCTCTGTCTCTTCAGACCAGGCATCAGTTGGGATGTTGGGATACTGGAAGAAGGAAATCTCATCCTTTGTTTTCTGCCTATGCTCTCACCATGCCCATTCCCATGTCTGATCATCACAGTGTCCTTCACAGCCCTTAGCGGAATCATGTTGAGTACAGAATGGTGTGAATATCATGGTTTGAATACAATCATGATCTGTCCATGTGGATTGTTTTCTGCAGCTCACTTAGACTTAAGGCCTCTTTATTTCAAATTTATGTTAGTATGTGGCAATAGAGTTGTCCCTGGATGAACTGGAAAATGCCTGGTTTCCTTCTGTTCCTGAGGTTTGCAACTCAGATGACATGTCACATTAATCTGTGGAACTTTTTGAAAGATACGAGTACCTGCTTCTTTGAAAGCCTCATCCTCTATTCCAAGAGTCAGAGTCAGTGGGTCTTATGTTATCCCACTGCAATCTACATTTTAAGTATCACCACAAATTATTTTTCTTCACAGCTATAGTTAAGAACTGTCTCTTTACCATAAAGCTGTATAGCTCTTCTTAAAAACTGTGAGAGATTAAGTGTGTTCTTTTGAATGTGAAATCTTGGTTTATCTTTTCATTTTTGTTGTGTTTTCTATTAGTTGATCATCATAAAATGGAAAACGAGTTGAAATGACAAGATTAGGAATATTATCAAAGTAGAGTAGGTTGTACATAATATAGAAATAAGGACAACCCAGTAGGGCATTTGAGAAGATGCTCAGCTAAAGTGAAAAAAAGCTAATAAAGGTTATCCCAGCCAGCTAGGAAAGCAATGCTCAGATGATCAGGTAAGGGTATCACCTAGGACAAGAAGGCAAATATGCAAAAGGAGTTATTTTATCTTGTCAAATCTAATACAGCCATATTTTACATTTTAACATCCCAGGCATCTGTTGGCCTGGTGCCATTGGGATGTCTGTCATTCCCATGCAGTATAAATTTTGCTGTTAGTCAACGATGGCATAACTGGTCAACCCCTCAAGTTTCAGTCAACAAACTAAGAAAAAGTAAATCCTGATTGACTAAAAAAAATTAAATCTACTGTTGTCATCTACTGGTAGATAAAAAAAGTAACAACATCAAAGCTTCTAGATCAAATGGTAGCTTGGAAGAAAATTCAAAGATAACAGTAGAGTGTTTTCTAAATAAATGCTGCATTCTCGGTCCTCTTGATGACATGGATACCAATATCATATAAAAAATAGGAACAAATATGCTAATTCTGAGTTGAAAAGTGAGACTCAGAGGTGTTGGACAGTCTACTTTTGAAGAAGTTTGGAATAAAGTTTAATTGGCAGCATTTTATTCTTTCTTACTGGTACATAATAGTGATTCTTACAACCACTGGTGTCTTAGTTTCAGTATAACATGATATTTGCATTGGTCTTTGCAGAGGAAAATATTGAAGAAGATTCTCAAGTCCAAATAGTTCCCTGAAAAAGGCATATGTGAAACTGTAGAGAGGGCCCAGTGAATCACAGACCTGAGTATGTAACTTCCATAAAGGCCAGCTATCAAGACATTAAAAAGAGAGAAGAAACACCATATATTTAGACAATGAAATAATATTTTTAAAAGAAAAATGGCTGGGTTTCATTAAGAAAGAATTATTTTATTGTATTTTTTTGAAGACATAAGTAGGCATCTGAACAGGAACTGATGGATGTAACTAGGCTGACTTTCAAAACATTTTCATAGGGTCCATCCTGGGGACAGTTAGAACAGCAGAAAATAATCATCATTTAATTGGAATTGGGATGGGAGTGCAGTTTGGAGATTTGGTGTCTTTTAAGTACTCCAAATTTGTTTAACAAAATGGTAACATCTAGGGTTGGAGGTCAGCTTTTCATTCCCTTCCTTTTGAGCTGCAATACCCCTGAGAAGCTATAATTTCTCTGTACTTCAACACCCATAATTCACAATTCCCATCTCTCTTCCACATGTTGTCTTTGAATAGCTTAAAAAAAAACAACAACTTTCTTATAAACCTCAGGCTACTCTTCTCCAGGCTGATCACCCCTTTCATTTTATCATAGTTTGTTTCTTGGAGATCCTTCCTTTCCTTGAGCCTTTCCTCCAAATATCCTCCAATTTTTCTACATCCTTTGTGACTACCTACCATAGTTCCCATGTGTCCAGGAGTCTTAGTTTATGCCTATTTTCTGAGCTTAATTATTACTAGCAACAATTTCATTCTCAAAAGTATCCTTATTAGAATATCATATTTGGTTAACCAACCTACAACTGAACAGAATGTAATATCTAAGAGTGGGCTGACTAGCAAAAGTGAGAGCAGAGTTCTTACCATCCTAAGCCTTGGTACACTACAAGTGCAGCCAAACAGATATATTAGGGACTTGATTCATACATCACACCATTGTCTCATATAAGCTTGTCTCGTATAGATGCAGTTCTCAATCTTTTCCACCCTTGGGGCCGTAAAGCCACATCTTCCCCATCTAGTACTTGTGCTGGTGGTTTTTTGGCATTTGTTCCTAACAAATTTCATGACATTGTGATTTAACCCTTTGTTCAGTCTGTCAAGAACTTTGTTATCCAAAATGCTGGCTTCCACCTTCAAAATTCCTGTTACTAGAAGATATAATCTTGCTTTTCTATATAATTATCCAAATTCTTGATGTTAAAATATTGCATAGAATAGCCCTATGGCACTCTGCTTTTTTCCAGTCTGACCTTGTTGGGGCAAAGGGGAAACTTCCCCCTTGCCCTCAGAGAGTGCACTGAAAAATCAATTAATCAGACAGATTAATAAGAGAAAAAGCATACAAATTTATTTAACCATGCACACAGAGAGAATCACAGTGATTCCCCAATTTCCCAGTGGGGTCCAAACACTTATATAACCTCCTTTTAGAGGCAAGGGGCAAGATGAAGAATATAGGTAATTCTGTTGAGGGCATTAAATGATTGTTGGAAAAAATGAGACTTGAGAGAATGAGTGGATTGCAGAGGGGTTGTGTGGTGAACAGAGAGTGACTTGTGGTTCTGTTTGGAAGTTTAATGAACAGAGAGACAGGCATTGTTTTGTAAAAAGGTTAGGGCTGGTCTGGTTACGTTCTTCCTCTCTTTTCATGAAATAGATAAGATTACAGGGAAAGAAAGGAAAAGCAATTGTTCATCTTGTGGTTCCATCCAATCCTTATGAAGACAGGGGAAAATTCTCTTCCAAGGCCTGTTGATTTCAAAAGGTTTCAATTCAAAATATTCATTATATCAGGGAGCCATATTTTGGGGTGAAACTCTGTACTTCTTCAACCACCATTCACATCTTAGGGGTCATTTAATATCACAAACCTACTTAACTATAGTTTCATTAAGGCTACATATTTCTGGCATTTACATGAAAATATCTTGAGAGATCTCTGCAAGTTCCTTTTAAAACTTTGAATGTCTAATATAGAATGCCTTTTCCTAATCTATCCATCGAAATAAATAAATGTATCATTAAAATAAATAAATAATGAAAGAAAGAGAAAAGGATAACAAAACTGAGTTAAATCTAATGTGACTATTTAGCAAGAGTGTATGGGGTCTTAGAAATATAATGACTGGCATTTAGAATAGGTCAGTACTCAATTAATATTTGTTGATCCAAACATAACTTTTCATTGATAAATGAGCAGAAGATCTTACTTGCGGCTTTTGCTAAGAAAAAAAGCCTATTTTTCTACACCTGTCAAGGACATCTGCTTTGGGAAGTCCCACACACAGCTTAGGTCCACACCAGAGTATGAATTGACTATTTGCTAATCATGTAAATATTATTGCTTAAATGAAAACATGATTGAGGCTAGAAGTGTGAACCAAATGCAGAAAGTGCCAGCTCTTTAACGGAAGCAATTAATTAGGCATCATCTTTAAGTCTGGTGATAGGTCCCAGGGTGTTAATCAAATCAAATATCACCAGCTGCTGAGAGAACAGGCTCTTTCAGGAAGCATTCACAATACTAAGCAGGAGGAGATGTGGCATTAAAATGCATTTTCTGAGGCTCCAGTAGCTAAGGACACCTATAGAAAAATTGTGGGAAACTCCTACATAGGCATCTCTGTAACAGATCAGATAAACACTGTCTTGAGTCAGTTGAAGTGGTGAGAAAAGACTAGGTTTGGATACCAGACAGAGCTGCGTTCAACTCTTGCTTCTGCTTTTACTAGCTTTGGAAAATCAGCTAGTTCTCTACAGATTCACAGGATTAATGTTTAGGATTATATCAGTTGCTGGTAAGATAATTACAAACAGCAAAATAATTAGCACCATCCCTGAAACCATCCTATGGGATCCATACAAACTTGCACCCATTGGAAAAATCTTAGGTTTGTCCCAATCTCTCCGGCCCATTGTTAATTGCAGAAGCAAAAGGGTTATAAGAGCAACACAGGTATTTGAGCTACGTATAGTTTCCTCTAGGGGACTTGGTGCTATCAGAAGAGGTCATCATATTAGAAAACAAGTTTTGTAAAAAGTAGAAGTCATAATGTTGAAGAGTTCAGTGACTTATCCAGGGGAAGAAATACCTGATTTATGAACAGTCATTATCCTGAACT